ACTGTTTCCCCGTTTAAGGTCCTCGGAGACACCTTTTTGGGGAGCCTGTAGCGACAAAACTACTGCGAATTAGCCGGTTTTAACACCAAAATCATACTCAAAATGGGCGGTTTTATCACATATCTAAATGTCATATCTGGTTTTATCAAAATTGAGCACCCCATGGGGATTTGATTACTAGCCCCTTCATTTTCTGCCGCTACAATAAGTGGTGACCGGAGGCCTTATTATACATTGTGGACATCGCTAACCATCTACCTATGGCTAGACTTGGGATGAAGACCCCTTATGAGCTACTGCACTGTAAGAAATCAAATGGTTTAGCATTAAGAGCATGGGGCTCTACATGATATGCATATGTTCTCAAATCTAAAGGTACCGGTATCGTAGAAGCTGCAACCTTTGCTTGTTCACATATCCCACGTCAGAAGCTCCCGTAAAGGCTTCGAATGCCAAGAGAACGTAAATGCCACAATTGTAGTTGTCGGTCTGGATACCAATGCTCGATACGTACGACTGGTGATGATACCTATCCTTCGGTATCGGTAGGCCCCCCACCAATTTGTGCGCGATAGCTCGGACGCTGGCCGCATAGGATGATGACATCGGGTCGTAAGTGTATATGCTTTCGGTCGATAGGTCGATCATGATAGCGCACCAATGATTTCCATTACAATTGATGGGAACGAGCACCTTTTCGTCCGAAACCCCGGCGAAAAGAGACGCAAGGCCCTCCATGTCTGTAGTATTTTTCCCGTTGACAACTACACCGACGTGGCTCGAATCAATGGTGACCACCCCTGGTGTGGACGCAAACATCACGTTCATCACCGCATACATGCACTCGTCCCCGAGTGACCCTCTGGCAGCAAGGTCTAGTAGATGTATCTGTGCTCCAATGTTAGTCTTACTAGCCTTATTTCGAGGTAGTACAGTGACAAGATGACGTACCGAGTCAGAGCGAATCTGTAGCTGCTTAAGCTTGCTTGGTATCTCATGGTCTGCTTCAATAGTGTAGTCCGGGCTAAGCGGCTGGGTGAAGTCGATTCGGCTGATCCAGTCCAGCGTTTTGTCAATAGAGTCGAAGATTGTAATTGCGTGATGCCAACCTTTCATCATTCGTAATGTCGTTGTTGAGAACACACCCAGACTAATAATCTCGACCGATACGTCTCTCTCCGATAATCCAGACGTTTTGCGTTGAAGCGCGGAAACCTTCGCGTCTCACTTTCTGAGTATGTCTTTGGAAAGCACTCGAGTCAGCAACTTGAGTCTGTCAGCGTCTTGCCTGCAGGGAGTTTGCTCGTCTGTCGGGCCACTGGGGGTTTAGGCTTAGTCCCAAATGTATACACTTGTAGTCGTCGAGCAAGTTCAGCGGAGGATGAATAGGTAGCGTTCGTGGAAAGGCTTTCGTGAACGGACCGCAAGCTTATTTGCAAGTCAAACAGCGTTGAATCTGCCTCTACACTCCGAATCAGCCTGTTTCGGTTTGCTTTCTTTGCTTTTGGCGTGACTTTAGGTCTCCCTCGTTGACGCACTGAACTCGCAATTTCGAACTCCACATCTCTGTCTTCAATATCAACTGTAGATAATCTGGATGTAGTCGCCTGTTGATCTCCTTCACTGGCTTGAGCTACTGATGGTGTTTCATTGACTGGTTTTGATAGTGCAGAAATGCTATGTTCGGGCACAATCGGTCTCGGTTCAGGAACAGTTGGTCTCATATTAACCGCGGTTGTAGGTGGCTCCGGCTCACTTGGTTCTTGGATACATGCACTTGTTTTCGGGGCAGTCGGTTTCGATACACTCCAGCTTGCTCGGGGATGATCAACCCTAAATCGGGCACAATCGGTCCTTCTTCGGGCTCGAATCCAACATCAAGTGCCCAACTGAGCTCGAATCAGCCACAGCCTGCCCGAGTAAGCTCGAACTGCCCGAAGCAACGCCAAATCTCACAAGGTGGCGGAGGTAGCGACGATGCTTCAAATAGGCTGCCTCAGTAGGAGCATACACGAGCAAATTGAATGTGCTGCGTAGCTGGTCCTTTTGCCATGAGGTGAAACCATAGTCCGAAGATGCCACAGCCTCTCTCAGATACTTCAACACGTGAAACTGACAGAGCAGTATAGAGGGATCCGGAAACGCTGCCCTGAGTACCGACAACTCCGTAAAGTCTTTGTCGATAAGTATGCTTTGGACTCGAGTCCATGCCGGATTGTTCTGCTTAAACTCCTCGATTGCAGTGACGAGAGTGTGACGACGTTCATTCTGCAGAAGGGCGTGCTGAACAAACTGTCCGTGGCCGAAAACATCGTGCGCCATGAACGAAAATACCTTGTACTTAGAAGCATTGGTGCCGTGGGTTGCATCGATCAAAAGAACCTCCGGGAATTGCTCGAACATCAGCCTCATGTGCTGGGTTTGCAATGTAATGCAGGTCGCAACTCGCTAATTACATTCAACACTGCACGTTAGCTAAGGTATCGATAGTCAAATTGAACGAATACTATACCTTGGTCTGCATGGTCTCGACAAATATACGTCCAATATTTCCTGGTGCTTCACAGAATTCTTGCATCCATGTTTTCAACCGTTTGGAACTGTTACGCGAACCACGCACGTTTTCGCTCTGCTTGAGGCTTCGAACCATGTTACACACGTCCTGAATAGACGGGTTGGCGTCCGTGTTCTCGATGATGAACTTCATAATATTCTTGTGTTTTGCACCCGCCTTGCGGAGCATATCCACCGACTCAACGACGCCATCATCTAGCACCTTGTGGATCGAGGAAAAGCGATAGAAGGTTTGGCGGTTGACGACATGATTGTGTACGGGATTACACTTTGTGATACAAACTGCAAACGCGTGCTTGGCTTTGTCAACTAGTCGAACGCAGGCGTTGATCTATGCCAGATTTATTAACGTTAGTAGCGATAATTGAGACAATAGTACCCGCAATGCCCGAACAAACCCGAACGAACCCGAGCAGAAGTAAAACTTGAAGCCGTATCTTACCTGGGCTTTGCAGTCCGATAACCGGGTCTCTTGACGTGGGCGCTTGCTGTTTCCCTTCGACTTGTACTTGCCGAAGCAAGTACAGACTAACGTCTTCGCGTAGTATTTCCATTCGGACGGGATTTCAGGTGCTTTAGAGTTCTTGTTTCGGATGTCTGTGTTACGACGCTCAACGGTCGTGTTTGTACGAACACGGAAGACCTTCATAGCACACAATGGGATCAGCAAAGAAGCCTATTGCAGTGTAAATCCACTTTACCTGGTAAGATGCGGCAAAATACCGGTCTAAATACGAGTGGAAAGCGTCCCACGATGTGAAGTGGTGCTTGTCGGGCACAGCCAGCGTTACATTGATAGACTCAGAGTCGTCGGTGTTGGTCCAGTCGCTGGAGCGGCTGCTGTTGTCGCCAGATTCCATCGGGAGCGATTCGTCGACCAATTCCTCTTCGCTGGACTCGACCGAGACGTTGGATGCGTCATCATCGCTTCGTGACCCTGATCCACGACGTTTTTGAGACGTCCGCGCCCTTAGCTCCATCTACAACGTTTGCGCCGATCGATTCTTGCCCTGTGGCTGACCCACGCTCGGCAGCACGCGCAGATTCGTGGCGATCGTCCAGCAGTATTCAGACCCCGAGGCGGGAAAAATGTGTGGTCGCCCCCCTTTACTATACGGTATACTTTGTCCGGAAAGGGGTATTTATTTGAGGAGGTTTAGGGTCGACTCGACTCAGATTTGGCAGATTTTCATTCGGGCAAATGAATCACTCTCTAAAGAAATAGCCGAGCGGTAGTTTAGGTTTAGTTCTTCTTGTTTTGGCCTTCCCACCTCCGCTACTTTTCGGTGGAATAAAATTAAAAAAAAACTAAGCCCCGATGATTTAAATTATTATTAATCCGGCTCAGCATCACGCTTATCTGAATAAAAATAATTATTCTAATGCTTTATTATTGTTGGCTATCACTGTATCTTCATCCTTCACCCAAAACCACCTGCATTTAAAATAACATTTTATACAAACGCTACACAATATGTTTAGCTTAGCGTCGTGCTCGATGCCACGGGCCGTTTCTGAGCCATGAAACTTAGCTCACATCAACACAAAAGATCGTACTGGCGTAGCTTGACTACTACCCGCTTGTACAGTACTACCTGTTTAATCTTGTAAGTAAGTAAAGATTGATCACCTCTCATTCCACCTCAA